GGGGCATGCTGCCATTTTCCTTCTGGCCCTGTTTCTGATGAGTGTGGTAAGGCCAGGGGCTCCCCTCTCGGCCCACTTACCGAGAATCAGTTGGGGGTTGGTGAGGAAATACGGTGTGGTGCTGGTGAGGACCTCGGCAGCGGCCAGCCTGGTCTCTGTGGAAAGGTGGTCTTGGCAGGACGAGACGACCAACTGGACCCACTGCTTCAGCTCAGGGGCTGCCGAGTCTCTGCTCTGAGGAACAAAACACAGCTGTGGTTCCGAGCGGGCAGCGGCCGGCTGGCCTGGTGTTAGGTACTAGGGTTGCAAGGAGCTCTGACTGCAGTGGGAAGAACGAGTCTTATAAACGGGGTTTCCACCTCAAGTGATACGCCCAGGAGCAAGATCTGACTACTTTTTCTCTCCTCTGCTGCCATTGTAGCTAGAGAACGAGCTTCTACATTTTTCTGATGCAAACCAGGTCATCAGAAAAGCACTGCATTTGATAGTTTCCATAAAAACAAAAGTTGTGGGGAAATACTGGGGCGTCATAGAGTACTGGTTGTCCCTGGTAAGCAGATGCAGCATCTTCTTCCCTTCGTAACATAAGACCAACTAGGCCCACGGTCGCCCTGCTAAAAACCTCACTTCCCAACTTCCTTTGCCTTCAGGAAGTATGGAGCAATGGGCTGGTGCGACATCACTGGAGGTGCTGCCTGTGCACTGTCATTTAGGAAATGAGTATGGCTTCACTCCCTGGGTTCGCTTTCCTGCTGGCTGAAACCTGGGCAAGATGATAGGAATTTAACCAATCACCTGGGACTGCAAGGCAAGTCGTATGTTGAAGACAGTGTAGGATTGCGTGTGTGTGTGTGGTGAGGGGAGGGTAAGGGGCGCTTGACACTGTTAAACCACGAGGTCTGCTTTGGACTCCTTCCTTCTATCAAGTTTAAGCCATTGGATTTAACACGGTCTCCTCACCCAATTGCACAGGAAGCCCCGGAGGGATGGTAGATACATGTTGGGCTGCTACCCACAAGGTCAGAAGTTCAAAACCACCAGCTACGAGTCAGAAGTGACTTGATGGCAGTGCGCTGAGTAACACTACTACTGAAAACGAATACTGAGAGTCCTATAACTGCCAGAAGAATGAACCAATCTGTCATGGAAGTAGGACAGCTAGAATGCTCCCCAGAAGCAAGGAGGGCAAGACTCTGTCTCGTGTACTTTGGACATGCTATCAGAAGTGAGCAGTCCCGGGAAAAGACATCATGCTTGGTGTGGTCATTACACAATTTCGTGTCAACTTGATAAATAAGTGTAGGGGTGGAGTTAGCCTGTCAATCAGGTCACAGCCCAGATGATGCCTCCTTGTGGGCGTGGCCTTCGCATGAGGATTCCGGGAACGGAATTCCTCTCTTTCCCCAGGGAGGTGAGAGAATACACTCTCTCTGCCTTTGTCTTCTTGCTGACAAGCCAAGCAGAGACTTGCTGAGAGACCTGCGAGGAGCCCTCGCTCTGCTTCACCTTCCTGTTGAAGAGCCACGCTCAGCGAGCTGGAGGAGTCACGTGGAGACCAGTGCCAGCACTGAGACCCATGCCGGTCCTGAGATGCTTCCACCGACATTGGATCCACAAGACGTTTCACCCACCAGCCTGTGGTCCTTCTGCATTCGGCATCATTGCACGTGCTGTGTGAGTCTAAAGAGGAATTTATGGACTAGTATCGGACATATGGGCTAATATCAGAGTGATGGACTTGATTGGGCTGGGCTGGTTTCCCAACATAGAATTACTCTCTGGTATAAAGCTCTCTCTTACTCACACAAGAGTGTTTCTGAATTTGTTTCTCTGGTCAACGTGGTCTAACACACTTGGTGGAGGGGCAGCAAGAAAGAGGACGACCCCTCTCGAGATGGACTCACACAGTGGCTGTCGCAATGGTCTCCGGCCTGGCAGGAATGGTGAGGATGGCTCGGGACCAGGAGGTGCTGGCACACAGGGCTGTGGGGAGGCAGACCCATTTGACAACACTCACAGCTGCTTAAATGAAGCCCCGGTCTGTTCACGTCTCTAGAGAGGGGCCTGTTGTTTGGAATGGACTTCACCTGCCCTGTTACTGCAATCATTTTAGATGTTCAAAACGCAAAGAGTGCATTCTGATGCACATTCAGTCATCCTGGGGCACTCCCAACTGAAATGGTAAGTCTCTTAGACCTGGAGGAAGGTGCTGATTCCCATTGGACCAAGAGGCCCAGGTTTTCCCAAAGAAAATTTTCTGAATTTTCATCAAATGTCACTTCACAGTGTAAAACATGACAAAATAATAATTTATAAATTATCAAGGGTGAGGGAGGGAGGGAGGGAGGGAGGAGAAAAATGAGGAGCTGATACCAAGGACTCAAGGAGAAAGAAAATGTTTTGAGAATGATGAGGGCAACAAATGTACAAATGTGCTTGACACAATGGATGTATGTATGGATTGTGATAAGAGTTGTACGAGCCCCCCAAAAAATTATTTTAAAAAGAAAAAAAAGATGTACACGATAATTGTACAGAAATAGCTTTAGATGAGAAAGATGTCTTTTATAGACCTAGTGAGCTGCCTTCTTGTGAGGACTTTAGAATTCAGTCATCCTCAGGTCCCCTAAACATTCTGGGTTCCCGGGGCCCAGATATGAGGGGGCTTCAAAAAGTTCTTGGAAAAAAAAATCGCATGTCTTTTCATTCCATTTTTCCAAGAACTTTGTGAAGCCCCTATACTTCCCTATTAGATCATTTCCTGTCCTTACAGCCTAGTAATGACCAACTCACGGCGACCCCAGATGTATCAGAACGTAACCAGGCGCCATCGGGTTTTCAATGATGGCATCTTGGGACGTAGGTCATCAGGCATTTCTTCTGAGGTGGCTCTGAGTGGACTCTGTTAACCACTGAGTAATGTAACCACATGCACCACCTAGTTATCTGTCCACTTCTCCTCTCTCAATAGGCTGTACCCATAGTTTTTGTTCATATTTGGACCTGCAATGTCTAGCTCAGAGAAGGGTTTGTAGTTAGGGCTCAGAATCAGCAATTACGCCATCGTTATCACAGTGTGATAATGTGCAATCAAGATCTTCAGCTCATTTTACTGTGATGTCCACAGGCTCCATTGTAATGAATGCTTCTGTGGTGGCAGCATCTTTCTTGTATCCACCTATGTGGGCATCTTCCTGAGGATCCACCTGTTCAATTTATGTGAGTTTCATCTGCCGCTGAAGCATAGGTCAAACAGGCATTAATTACATTGGGCCCTGCTATGTCCTGATATGTTAAATTTTAGTGATATCTTTTCACTACATTGTGATCCCAGATATTCTTGGAGTAGCCGGTTCTTTCCTGTCTTAGTAAAAAAAGAGCTTAACTCAAGAAATGGTAAAAATCCTAAGGGTTTGGATATATGTTTTGCAGGTAACGTAGAAGCTGCGACATACAGGCTGAGCACGTACGCCATGCTGATTCTGCTTAAGGGACAAGTGACTGTTCCTGATCACTTCCGGGTAACCAAGAGCACAAGAACTCAAGAGTCCAGGACAGGGGCACAATCCGCCTTACCTCCTCACATGTCTGCACGTATTGAACAATCACTTTGGAGGCAAGTCTCAGAGCTCTGCCTTGTATCTCAGACCTAGAAAAAGGACGCGAAGATAAAGTCACACATATTTTGTAGACGCGTGGCATTTGTTGATAGTCTGTCATCCGTGCAGATGTGAACTCTGGGAATCTCTAACGCCTACAACTCCTATTGTAGAGTTATCTATTAGCTCTTTAATGCTGTTAGAGTTTCATGTAGGTATTTTGAGGTTCTTTCACTGGGTGTATAAATATTTATTATGGGTATGTACTCTTGTTTGATTGGCCCTTTAATCATTATGTAATGTCTTCGTCTCTTATGCTGACTTTTGCTTTAAAATCTATTTAACCAGAAACTAATATTGCCACTCTTGTTCTTTCTGATTTCCCTTAACTTGACGTATTTTTGCCCATTGTTAGGTTTCAGCCTGTTTTTAATTTTTATGTCTAAGGTGTGCCTGCAAGAGTCTGTTGCGAATTTCTACCCTCAGGTTCTTTAAATGCCTCCAGAAGCAATTGCGTTCTAATTTTCTGATGTGAACCATGGACCGCATTCTATTGTTCATGCTTAGACCATGGCTCCAAGCGGAAGCTTTGAAAGAAATGGAAGGCCTGTGTTCCTAGACCAGGACTGTGTGCATGTCAAGGCATGACTGACATGATCATACATAGCAGCAAGGCCACACAGGCCACATTGAGGGCAAACCTTTCTGTGGAAGCCACATCCATTGTCCAGACCAAGAACTCCTTTGGAGTTCGATGCACACAGCACTCTGTCAGGGGAAGCCACTCACTCAGGTCCATGCAATGAAGCACTTTCAGTATCTGTTTGTAGAAAGAAAGACCAAAATCTTGAAAAATCAAATACTTATGAAAATACTGGTAGATGCTAAATAGTAACTACTTGACAGACAAGGGGGGGGGCGTCTATCTTTCAAAAGACGTCCCTGACTTCTTTCCCCTGAATACCTCTGGGAGACCGAGGCAGGTGCAGCCATGCCAGCCTCGAGGGCTCTTCGAGCCCCGCATGCGGGTCTACTGCACGTTCCCCCACTGGGCGCTCCACGTGGGCATTTGCGCTCACATAGCCATGGGAGCACAGCCTGCCCTCTGACTCATTCCATAGTCGATTTTCAATGATTTGTTTCCTGAACATACCAGAGTGGCTTACGCTGTCGTCAGTTAATCTCTGACACCGATACCACAGTTATCAAAAGCTTCTCTCAGTGCCCTTCTGTCCATGAATCCATGCCAAGCACTACATACAAAGACTCCTTTGCTCTCTGGATGCCGAAGCTACTTCCCATTACCCCTGGAGAGTCTGAGCTCAAGCCTGCCCTCGTGATCTTCGGCTCTGGTGGGCTCCGCGAGGAGCGTGGGGGTGGAAGGGAACGGCCGGAACACCGGGGCCTTTACCTTGCAGAAGCATTCTGGGTGCGTTTCCTTCATAGCCATCACCAAGAACTTCTGTCCCGCCTTGGGCAGCAAGGGCGGCTGTGCCTTCTCTGCTCCTCCCTGGGCTGTGGCTGAGAACCTTTCCAACAGGGCGTCCAGGGTCAATGAGCGCACCTCAGAGAAAGTAGACTGCAGCAGCTGAGAGAAGGAGATGGGGACATTCCTGGCCTGCTCTCCAGCCTTGGCTGTCATGGCCACCACAGCTGCTATGGCTAGTTTGGTGAGGCTCTGGAGGTACTGGGGTAGGCCTGGCACAGTAAAGGTATAGGGGAACCCCGTGATCAGCTCCGATCCGGCGATGATCCCGTTGACTTCCTCCCAGATGTCAAGGCTCTCCAGAACTGAAACACAGAGGAGCGAAGGAAACAAGACAGTCATTTATTCAACATGGGAGAATGGTAGGCTCTGAATACACTAGGTGAGATTATCAGATATAGTATTTTTAATAGATGTCAAATGACCAAAGTAATAAGCAATGGGTTCACTATAAGGTTCAGACGTCTGACCCAGAGGCAATTTCTATTGAGGGCACTAAAAATTGTTTATAGAGGGAGACAAAGACATTGAAAACATGCTCCTGGCACACTTCTTCGACATCCAATAAATGTGAACTCAGTGGCATCTTAAATCACTGAGCCTCCGAGCGGACGAGGGCCTAAAAGGACATCTCGTTCAAACGTCCTCCAGAGGCTGGATTCTGGGCACAGCAGCTCGTCCCCGAGGTTTTTGGTTGAAGCGTACAATGGCCTGGCGCTCATAGCCAGGCTAGTCCACTGTTAGTAGATCTAATGGCTGTAGTTCTTCTTGACGTTTTCATTTTCTTACCTAATTGCTTATTTTTAGACTCCCAATGAGAGTCCAATATTTACTTAGCTGTCCGCTAAGCATTGGGCTGCTAACTGCAAAGGGGGTCAGTGGTCGAACCTACGGATCGCTCCACACGGGAGAAGGATAATGCTTTCTGCTCCCAGCAAGTTTTACAGCCTCTCAAAGCACAGATAGAGTCAGTAGGACTCTGAATCGATTTGATAGCAGTGGATAAATAATATATACTTATATTTACAGAATGACAGTTCTTTAGACATAAGAATTCATTTCTTATTAAACATCCCAAGTTTTCACTAATTCGTTAACCAGTCTGATGTGTTTCTTCCTGACTTTGCCATTCTGCTCATCTAGAAGAACATTAGTCAGCCTCGATAAAACAGTGCACTGAAATGTATATAGCATGTCTACATTATTTCTCTGATCAGCCTGAAGTGACAATTCTAGCAAAAAAATGAATACATTTAGCCTAAAGGTACTTACCAGAGACGTTTTAATGCGACTCCACAGGTTATATAGTGCTTTTTACATTTGTCATCTATTAGATTACTGAACCTCAGTGACACCTCAAGAATTATCATAAATATAATAAGAATGTAAAGTTAAAGGTAACCATTGGAAAAACCTAGAAATTAAAAAAATTATGTAGCTTTGTACAAACCTATGAATTAAAAGTATAGAATATTCACATGACATATTCACATTGTTTCAAAGTGTTAGTCCCAAGGGACATAATAGCAACTCAGGTCCCGTGGAGGCCACCATCACCATCCGCCACTGCGGGCACACCTCTGCTCGGAACTCAGGTTGTGAAGCAGCCAGGGCTGAAGCAGAAGGCAGTCATGCTCACAGAGCCAGAAGGTGACCCCAGGCCGTCAGAATCTCCAGCCTTTCTATCAGCTCTAGTTCCAGGGCCTAAAAAGAGAACCGCGTGCAGTTGAGTCCAGGCAGAGCCCTACTCTGGTCCCCTGCTGCCTCAGGACAACATGCAGTAAGGAGGGATTCTATTGGCTGGCATTTGATGACTCAAGGATCTCCTCTTTACAATCGAATTAAAAAAGGAAAAGAAATTGTGTCAATGATTCTGAGTCCTTTTCAAAGGAACCTGTTACCTAAAAATAAGAGATTGCAGAAAGAGTGGAGATCACTGGGTTAGAGAGCTGGGCCCGGGACATAGCTGCTTGCTTCTTTGAAGGCCCTGAGGAGGGCCGGGCGGCACTACCCAGAAGCCAGACAGTGGGGCGCATGCTTACAGGGACTTCATTTTGAACGTCTTGGCCCACACTGCCTGTAGAGTTCATTGCAATGCCATGAACGTCTCACGAGCACAGATCAGGCACTTTGGGAGATGATTCAGAGTTGAGTAAGAAAACAAGATCTGCTATCCGAAACATCTTAAGATGGTTGCCGCGTGTGCCAAACTGATTCCAGCTCACAGGGGCTTCGTGGGACAGAGCAGAGCTGCCCCCTAGGGTTTCCAAGTCTATGAGCTTCTCAGAAGGCCACCAAGTCTTTTCTCTCAAACTAGGAGCGTTGACCTTGGTGAACAGCCAAGTGCATCAGCAAGATTCCTCGCTTTAGGACTAACGGAAGGATAAAGACGAGTACATAAGACTACCAATAATGGCAACAATAAAAATTTAAAAATGCTTAGAATAGTGTCCAAATATAAGCACTGACATTTGTATTTACGATGCACAGCACTATTCTATTCTTATAAAACAGAATATACTTAGTGTTTAATGGAGCACAAATAGATTGTAAATAGCTACCAATTCAAAGATGGGTAGTTCAGACCCACCCAGCAGCGTTCCGGTGGCCATCTGTTTCTGTAAAATTCATAGCTCAGAGAGTCTGTCACACGGGGTGGGGGTGTGTGTGTGGTGTCCTACTCAGGGCGTTGCACGGGGCCCTGCCAACAGGTTCCTAGAATCAATGTGCCGACAGGAGAGGCCGGGGCTGGGTCACCTGGTTGAAAACCACCAGATGCTAGTCATGTGGCCACTTTCTCCAAACTACTGCTGAGAAAGAAAACTCTGTCTGCGGCGGTGCTGACCCAGAGACACCTGGAGCGGTCTCCCTAACTCAAGGTGACCAGATTTGAACATTGGTAAAGCAGGACACCATTGGTAAAACTCATATCCTGGCAAAATAGCCACATGGCAGCCGAAAACCATCTACCCTAGCTTGTCGTGCATTCTTTCCAAAAATCAGGACTTTTTAAAAATGCCGCAGGGCACGCGAAAAATTGTTAAAAAGCGGGACTGTCCTGCCAAAAGCGGGCGTCTGGTCACCTTACTCTAACTCGAGTGCTGGCGAATCACATGGAGGGCGGCCAGACTACCAACCATGACCCCGTGCTCTGCTTCCGGGGTGCCCATTCCTGTGGGTGAGAACGCGCACTTCTAACAAGTTCACAAATGCTGCTGCCAACCTAGAAATGTACGAGAGGGCTGCAGTTGATTGCAGTTACTGTCAAGTTGCTTCTGACTTGCTGCAACACCATTTGTGCAGCAAGCACGGCTCCATACCATTTTTAAGGCTATGAGCTCTTGGATGTAGGTGACCAGGTCTTACTTCTGGGGTATCCCTGGGTGGGCTTGAACCACCCATCTTTCCATTAGTAGTTCAGCTTAACACCCAGGGTTCCCTAAGCAGCTTCAATGGCTAACAAAGAAATATGACCATCCTTGGTGTCAGGTAAGCATGGCCTGCCAATCACCAGGCTGGCAGTTCAAACCCAGCCACTCAACGAGAGCAATAGAAGACTATTCGTGTCTGTAAAGACCCGCAGTTTGGGGAACCCTTGATAGGGCCACTATGAGTCCGAATCTACTTGCTGGCAGTTGGCTTGGCTTGGCTGGTACAGTGGTCCTCAGCCCAGGATGGGGGTGAAATTCTTCTGAAGAGTTTCAGGAAAATAGTCATGGCACAGTACTGGAGTGCATCCCTGAGGCGAGAGACCTTCAAAAAGTTCAAGGTAAAGAATGGAATGAAAAGAGAATGGAATTTCCCTACCAACGTTTTGAAACTCCCTTGTGTTTGGCGCTCTATCCTGCTCTCTAAGCTGCATTTGGCCGAGATCTTCAAACAGTGTTCACCTCCTCCAGCCTGTGTCCTGTGATACCAAACAGGCCCCACTAGATCAAAGTGGGGCCTTTATTTTCGTTTCTACTAGTGCGTTTTGTCTACACGCTCACGGCAGTCCTTGGATGGAGTTCCTCTATGTTCTTTCGAGTTTGATAAATTTTAAACCTTCACTCTTCCACCTGGAGCCTGGATCTTGATTCCTCTGGGTTTCCTCCCATCCTCCTTCTGTCCTGCCTTTCTGGTACAGCCAAGTGTTCCAGTGAAAGTATCAGGTCACTGCCTTACTGGTTCTATCTTGGTTTCTGTAAATTACAGCTCACCAGATGGAAGGAAAATGCTTTCTACCACCTGCTGCAAAGATAATTCCTAAACTTGGAACTCATGGACCAATAAAACATCAAAAACTAGTGTACACTGCCAACTGTATTTCACAAATCCACGATCGTCTCATAAGAGAGAAGCTATCTCAACATCCCAAAGGGGGGAAAGCCACTGTGTCGCGGGGAAGGACAAGCCCTTAAATGAAAACAGCACCGCAGAACAGCTTTGAAGAATCTGAGGAAAGCTTCCTGAGGCTGGTCTGGTTGGATAGCAGTGCTGTGGTCCACAGATCGTTCCTACAAAGGCCCCAGGGGGCCTCGCCAAGCCCTCTCGAGTGGACCAACAGATTGTCTGGGCCAAGCAGCACAGGACCCTCCCTCTGGCCATCTCAGATGTGTTCTCTCTGCAGCTCTCAGGACTGGGGCAGCTTGCAGGTCTCAGGGTGAGGCTTGCAAACTCAACGATGGTCGCCCAAATTAACTTCAGATTTCGGAGCTGGCGGCCCCTGAGAGTACAGGATCCCTGAGCAGTACAGAGGTCGACAGCTTGGCCGCTGCCAGAGGGGTCCCAACAGGCCCAGAGGGTCCTCAGAAGACAAGTCTGGTGGTCTGTTTGCAGTGAAAACTCCAGGGAGCAGTTCTCTAGAAGCCCCAAGGCAAGGGGCTTCAGAAGATGGAATCAACTAAACGCTATCTGACCACAACGCCCCCTCACGAAAGGAGGCAAAGTGCAAACTTCAAGCCGGCTGCTGACAGAGGACTCAAAGCACCCAGATTGTGAGTGAGGAGGGTGTTGTTCAGTGTGTCCCGTTGTATTACTCAGGGATGCCTGTCTCCTCCCACGGGGAGACCACAACCCCACGGGCCGGCCCAGTGCCACTCATCGTTGAGCTACTGAGCTATTCATTTTGTTAACACTTCATTTGAAACCCCCCCCCCCCAATCAAGCTAATCTTGAACTATGCATGTTGATCTTGATAACTTTACCAAAGGCATTCTGGGAAAAAAAAAATTGTGGATGATATCATTACCACATAATTATGGATGCAGTGGGGTTATACCATCAAAGCATTTAATTTAGGTGAACTTAACTCTAAGTACTCAGC